AGTCCTAAATCATATCAACAGAAATACGTTCTTAATTATTTCCGTTTTGTTTTGTTTATTTTAAATATGATAAAAAACTGATTTATGTCTCAATTCGTATAGAAAGATGAAGACTATGGACGAACGATTTAGTATAAACCAAAACATAATTCAAAAATATCTCTGAATAAACCGAGTTACATATTGAATTCGCTTATTTAGTCAATAATCAAATCTAGATAAATTGAACTCAGTAGTTATTTACTTACTTACCGCCTGTTACCCTTCGTGGAAGAGCACAGTCAGACCACCAGCATTCTCCACCCAACTCTGTTCCAAGCATTTCTTTACACTTGTTTCCAGTTGCTATTTATTCTTCCCATGTCTGCTTCCAACTTCCGATCCAATATGTCCTTTGCTTTCCCAGTTTTCCGCTTCCATTTAGGATTCCAAGTTAGTGCTTTCCTCGTGATGTAGTTTGGTGATTTCTTCAATGTATTTCCTATCCATTTCGAGCGTCTTTTCCTAATTTTCTCTTTAGATGGAAACTGGTTTGTCCGTTCCACATTAGGCTGTTACCGATTGCATCCAGTCAATAGATACTGAGTATCTTGCGAAGACAATTATTTATAAATACTTGTACTTTCTTTATGATGGTTGTAGTGGCCTTACCAGTAATAGATGACAATAATAAATCAATAACTTAGTGTTCAAATACAATTCACAAATATTATAAAATTTAACTGCCATAACTAACTGATTTATTTGATTCAATATTTATGATAGCCTTCCCAGCTCTGTTTAATTGGATTGTCATGCACACATTTTATATAAGGGATCATCTAGAGAAGTTAGTTGTCCCTCTTCGTAGCATTTTCCATTCTAGTCCACATCAAGAAAGAAAAAATAATAAACAAACAGACAAATACAGAAAAACTTTTAATACATATATTGGTCATTTAGCCTTGTTAAAGTGGAAGGATAGATAAGTACAGTATAAATGATATAATATTTGAATTTTGTTCTCATTAATCATTATTTATTAACTTTTAGAACAGGAAAAAATATCAAACTAAAAAATTTCCTGAATAATCATTTAAGTATTAAATTAAATTACACGAAAAAAAGTCAATCATTCACTTACTAGTTCATTTTCGTATTGCTTGTTTGAATCTTCCCATTTATGTTTAACCCTGCAATTGATCCGTCTCTTATTTGAATATGTGTATCCTTTGCGGACTGCCTCGATATTTTCTTTAAGTCACAAGCATTATAAACATAAATGGATGGTGACTAGGAGTGAAATCCAGGATGCGCACTTCAAGTCATGGTGGGAACATCAACTCTTAGATGCAGATAGATTCAGCTAGAGTCCCAAATGAGACGAAACGCACGTCCTGGATTCCATTAATAGTCACCAACTATCTCTGCTTATAATTTACTTACTAATTTAAAATATGAATGGTATTTTTTTACCTTCTCTGTGAGATATTTTTAAAACTAGTGTATATTGTATATAAGGGAATCTTGTAAAGTGTAATAACTAAGTTGACAATTTTCACTGAGACCACATTAAAACAGTGACAATGTAATGATCTTTCTGCCTTTACGTGAGATGTCTATGAATAAATATTTTGCTGTCATTATTTTAGCACAATGAATCTGGCTTAATAATAATTCATTTCTTAAGTTGAATAGTATAGTGTTTACATGAAAGACTCCTATCTCAATCATAGTATTTGACAAGAGTGCATTTAAAATGAAGTCATTTGTCGATAACATTTGCTGCTGTATTTTCACTTACTTTGAAACAAACTAGTTTTTATAAACATAACGTCTTATCATGGTTAGAGGTGCAACCATTGAGCTATCCTAGGGAGGGGGTTCGAGCAACGAACTTAATGGATAATTGTGATATTGATATTGAGTTTTTACTAGGTGCTAATCAATTTCCTATCTGTTTAGACACAAGGTGATTCAAATTGAATCCCACAGAAAGCATTATTTCTCTAAGATTATAAAAGCACCTTGCTAAGTGGTTCCAGCTTGTACAAAATCTGATTTTTAGGTTTCTGTTGATAAGTTCAAACCTCATAACATCAAGGATTTCAAGTTGCATCTGTCGTTATATTCAACAATGAGGTTAAATATCATTCAATTCCACACACCAACTAATAGATAAATGTGATATTAATTCACAATGTTTTTTACTGAAATTCTAAGTGTCGAAAAAAAATTCTTTGGAACTATCCATTAAACTTCAGTAATATATAGTAGACCTGAATTTCTGTTGATTTTTGGAAATATAAATCCATTACCAGTTTTAGCTTATTTGACATGTGACTAGTAGTGGAATTCAAGGCATGGAGGTCATGCTATTTAGGATACATCGTTTGAATATACCTGCATCCCAGTGTTGTCATTCACACTAATACTGGGACATATTGTCTATTCTTTCAAATCCCACTAAGCTATTGAATCCAGATATTCACTAAATTATTTAACAGATATGATGTTATTTACTTTTAAGTTTTCATGTTCTATGATTATTGTTATTAATAACTGAATTTCTATTGGTCTATATCTCTAGAATCAAGCTAAATCCAGTTAATGATTTACAACTAGGGTGAAATACTTATACTGTGTTTTATTACTAGGCACAATGCAACTTTGTCAAAATTCGTAACAAAACACACTGTATCGAGACAATTCACTTGGGTTTTAGAGTTGTTTGATCACTGAGTAGTGACCAGTGTCATTTATGTTAAGTTCCTCTTACTGTTGATAAAATTCTGTCGATCAAGTTGCACTATGGTCACTAGTCTAATTGATTCGATATCACGTGCAATATGTTCAGATGCAAAGTCGTGGTTAACGGTGATCGACAGGAAATCCTGAAGTTATATTTCATACTATTTGGCATTCATCAGCAAGGTGTAGCCATAATCACAAGAAGATTAATGCTCAGAATGGGTTTTGTGGAGAGTTTTAGAAATTTCACAAGTTGAAATCATGAGTCAGTTGAAGCTAGACCACCATTGAAAACCTGGAAGCACTGGACGGCCGTTTCGTCCTGCTCTTCGATGAATTCGATCTGGTATCACCCAGCTTCATAGTCAAAGACATTACCATGACCCGAATAGCTCAGTCATAACACCTCTAAATATGAAACTTGGTGTCGACGGAACGATTCCAGCAAGGAGCATCATTTCCCTAGAGACTAAAGGTATACCTTGCTGACAAATATCAAATAACATGAAACGTAGGTCCAGGATTTCTTATTCACTACCTCCAACCACCACTTTAAATGTGCTTAGTATATATATATTACAACAAAGACTAATTAACTTCAGTTTGATAATTAACAATGGGAAATTTCAAACGATTATTAAATCCAATACACAAATATATAATCAGAATGGGTTTTGTGGAGATTTTTAGAAATTTCACAGATTGAAATCATGAGTCAGTTGAAGCTAGACCACCATTGAAAACCTGGAAGCACTGGACGGCCGTTTCGTCCTGGTATGGGACTCCTCAGCAGTGCGCATCCACGATCCTGCACCACGGAGGGCTCGAACCCAGGACCTACTGGTTTCGCGCGCAAGCACTTAACCACTAGACCACTGAGCCGGCATCCAACGGTGTTAATGTCTAACTTCAACTAATCCACGAAGCTGCGCCACCGTACACCATTGTCTTCAGTGAGTTCCTATCTCACAACAGACCTGGTTGAACTCCACTGGTAACGGCTTCTCACTCACTGAAGACAATGGTGTACGGTGGCGCAACTTCGTGGATTGGTTGAAGTTAGACATTAACACAAATATGTAGTTGGATTATTACTATATCATTATAACCATTGTGCATCATCATCATTTGTATATCTGCATAATAATTGCCTTTGTTTGCTTGTGAATTTATTTGAATATTAAACATAACTATGTTATATATGTATATTAGCCTGTTCACAATTGTATAATTGGATTGTCTGGTCATCATTGAAATGATACCTACTATAGTTTCTTTTCTTTACTTTACTTTACTTTTTTTTTGTTTTTATAATCCAAAATATAAACGAATCAGATTACAGACAGGTCATTTTACTTAGATAGTTATACAGACAGGTAAATTAAGTAAAAACCAGTCAGCATCATTTAATAATAAATAGAATAGATTGGTTGTTGAAAATGAGGATTTATCCCTCTATTATAAAATACAAACTTTTTTAAAATCTTAAATATACTAAATTCATATTAGTGTAATGATCACTGTTATTATCATTACTGATGACCATACTCATATGATGCGCATTGTTACTAAATGACAATTATTTCAATGAAACACTAGTGTATTTCTATAAACTGAATAGATAATAATAATGATAATGTTGATAACGTCCACTTACCCTACGGATCATTAAATATATATATATATATATATATATTAAATTTATCCATCAGTATTATTATAACACTTAAATATTTTAGACAACATTTAGAATCAAGGGAAAATAAATAAATAGACAAATGAATTTACTGAAATATTCTTTAGTTTCTATGATGAAAAATATAAAAAACGATAACAACAACAACACGCACACACACACACGCACACAATTTATTTCGAGTAATATTTATTTGTTAAAATGATTAATCAATGTTGGATATCAAAAATATCATGATCTTTATTGATTAAAAAATAAAGAAAAAAAGAAAGAAACTAAATAAATAAATAAAATAATTATCATATTCTATACAAACTTTCAATGTATACTACTTACAACGATTGATCTTTTAAAAAATCTTTTGTGGACATTAAAGAGTGATTAATTTTAACAAATCGACATTTGTAATTATATCCTATTCTGCATTTTCTACTTGAGTACGCATACACACACATACATACATACACCCATACACGTATATACAATAATATACGTGTTTCTTTTTTAATTGGATTTATAATTTAATAGCCTCTAAAACGACCAGCATCTCAATGCTTGGTCGTTTGATGTGGCGATGACCCGAGGTGAGAAAAAAAAGTTAAAATTTCTTATTTGATTATATATTTTGGTTTTAGCTAGGGATACTTTATGAATAACCGTCAATTGTTATATATATATATATATATATATATATATATATATATATATATATATATTATAGTTGAGTTCACGAGTCAATTAAAGTTAGACCACCATGAAAAACCTTGAAGCACTAGACGGTCATTTCGTCCTAGTACGTGACCCTTCAGCAACTTTAATTGACTCATGAATTCAACCATTAAACTACTACAATCTTCACAAAAAACCCTCTTCTGAAATATATCATTAGTTGTTGACTAAATAATAAATGTTTTTCTCTAGGTGTGGTTGATATTGACTGTAGAAATATGGACCATTGTAATATTCAAGGTCGTTTTTCAAGGCTATTTTTTAGATAAAGTATTTGCTTCACATGCATTGTGTTTTGTTTTTTTGTTCACTTCATTAAAGTATAGAGTAAAACTAATTTAAATTAACATATGGTATTTTAATATCTTGGAAAAAAAATAATTTCTTATTCCAAGTGAATGATGTCAGTTAGTTGTTAAACACTAATATCTCTATATACTCAGTAGAAGTTTCATGCCATTTCATTATAATATAATAGTAATAATAGTTATAATGGTAAAGATAATAATTATGCTACTGGAGAGAACTTGTGATTATAACAATTGTATGGGAATTTTTCTGTAGTATAGCATATATTTAAGTATATTAATAAAGAAAAAACATACCATTCTTATCAAACAAACTACTTATATAGTATCTTAACGAATATGTGTAGCCAAAGCATAAAAATTCATGGATTTGAATATTCTGTTAACTTGAGATGTTTAATAATGTTTTGCAGAAAATCATTAAACTAGGTAAAAATAATAACTCTTTACTTATTATGTATGTATTAAATAAACATTTGGGAAAATTACTCAACAAACAGTATTGTTAAATATACCTTAGATCAACTCATGAATTAAACTAATGAGAATACTACAATCTCTACAAATCTCCATCCTGATAATAATAATCATGTGTTCACTAGTGACTGACTTCAAGATGGATTAACTGGAGTTCTAGTAAGAAGACATGACGAGTGGAGCTCAACCGTTTCGGGTGTGAGACGGTTTCCCACTTCAGACAATAGATGAAGGCTTGAGCACGATCAATGATTGGTTGAAGTTGGACATTAACACTGTCTCCACAAATACCCATTCTGATAAGTTGATATACTGAATGAATGATTTCGATAATTTTAAATAATTAAACGAAAACAGAAACAACTAGTTATGATAAAGAAAGAAAACCAATTTACATTTGTTCAACTGGGAAATTTTCCATGGAATATATAAGCATTGAACTATACATCCCATTATGCGGAAAATAAAAACCCAGACACAATGACCCTTTGGTAATAAATGATTTACGTTCATAATCAATGAAATCAAATGTCTGTGTTTGTAGTAAATATTTCTTAGTGGTTGAATTCATGAGTCGATCCAAGCCAGACCACTATTGGCAACTTATGAGCGCTGGACAACCGTTTGTTCTTAGTATGGGACTCCTCAATAGTTTTCACTTAATATCCCTCACAGTGGACTCGAGCTCAGGGCATTCGGTCTCACATACCAACACCAAATCTCTAGATCACTGAGCTGTCCAGTATCCAACGGTGTCAATGTATAACTTGAACAAATCCACAATATTGCGCGACCATACTTCATTGTCTCTGGTGGGTAATGGCCTCACACCTGACACTATTGAACTGAACTGGTCACGACTTCTCACTAGAACTCAGGTAATTATCTCTCGAAGCTGGTCAGTAGTAAGTATATAATATTTGTCAATATCTTGAGCGTGAGGCCGAAAGTCCTAGGTTCCAGTCACGTTTCCAAGTTTTCAATAGTGGTTTAACATTGATTAATTCATGATCTCAATTGAAACTCAGCAATCTCTACATTCCTATACAGACTATGATTCATTATCAGAAATCTCTTTTTACACAGCCTTATGCATATAAATAGATAGACAGATACAGTCAAATTTATTATTATTGGTCAGTTTAAATAACAAAAACGTAGATGATTGTGTTGCCGATATGTTTACAACGAAGTTTGATCATAGTATTAAAGATGATGACATCAGCTCTTATTATTATTATTATTATTATTATTATTATTATTATTATTATTATTACACATAATAAATAGATAGGAAGAAATAACAAAAAGCAATCGTTAATCGTTTAACATTAAAATTATTTTTAAGCAAATCAACGTAGCCAAATTTTATCTTTGCATAAATTTTTTTCAAATGAATAGTCCTTATTGGCTCGTATTCTCTTATTTATGTCATCCTGACAATATTTCACTCACTTTCAATTTTCAGAAATAACATTTCACTGGAAAGTGATTTAATAACACGATGTGACGATTATGAATAGAGGTTGTTATCTAAAGAAGACTGGTTGTTGGCTTTTCTGAGATAATGGAAAAAAAATTTACAATTCAAGTGGTAGAGTTGTCTTATTTGAGTTGGATAGTTAGGATTACATACAGCTTAACTTTCATGTGTTCACTAGCCACCAGCTTCAAGGTCCAATCCCTGGAGTTCTAGTGAGAATCCATGATCAGTGGAGTTCAACCGTGTCGGGTGTGAGGCAGTTACTCCCCGAAGATAATCAAAGATGGTAGCATACTATCATGGAACGATTAAAATTAGGCTTTTAAACCACTGGATTCCGGCATGATAATTTACGGGTTAACCGTTAGCACACAAGACCAAAGGTCTTGAGCTCAATTACCATTTTCAGGATTGTGGATGCAAACTTCCGAGTAGTTCTATACTGGGATTAAACAGCTGTCTAGTGCTTCTAAGTTCACACTGATGGTCTAACTTTGATCAGTTTATGATTTCAGTGAAATTCAATAAATTCTACAACACCATACTGTCAAACATTAAAATGTTTTATTAGGATTAGAAGTTACCTAATTTTGTTATGTTTTATCTAACAGTAATATGCCATAAATTCAAATAAAATTAAATCAATAGTAGTTTAAATTCATTATTGATATCAGCCTTCTGAGTGACGAATAATTCTTCATGCCCCTACAAAATTTATCACTAGGGGTATAGAAAAATAAATCACAGTCGTTTTAATGTCGGTCAACAAACCGCGTACACAGATTTCTTTTAATAAATATTTTCTAAAGGAAAAAAACGAGTATTGTGAAATGTTCAACCATGAGAGTTGATAAAGCCGTTTCGGGAACCTGATTAGCACATTTGGATAATGTTTACTTACTTTAGCGGTACGTATACTGGGATTCATTATAGATTTTCAGTAGGGAACCATTTGATATTTAAACTTCAATGTACGGTTAGTTGGACTTATGTTTGCAAGTATGTGTTTTATACATATATGTCAAAAATACACAACTCCAAGATTTTTGCACTCTTGGCAAGCATATAAGTATAATTGCCATGATTAAGAGGATAAAATGATATCCACTCGCTTGATTTGTTATCACATTATCTGTTTATTTCAACAATTAAACGTTAAGTACATACGTAAAATACACAAGTCAGGGACTTCATAGTATATATATATGATCATAGATCCACCCAGTGTATCCGGCGCGAGTATATATTTTTAATCTTTTTTCTTGATACAATTAGTAGATTAGACTGGTCACCACTGAGCCATTCATGGTGGTTCATAAGATGACTTCAACTGTTACCCCGAACACTATGGGTAGGTGAAGGTTGAATTTTATACGCTAAAGTATTATATATCATATAATCTTCCATATACACAATGAGAAAAATAGTTTGTAAATGTAATTTTGTATGAAATATGCGGTAATTAAGTTTTATAAACAGATCAAATTTAATTCAAATTTTGAAATATGACAACCAAACAAAAAAAGAGAAAATTTCAGATCATGACGTAATCAATCAAAAGACTAATATATTCAAATTATTTATTTATTAAAATGACCGCGTATATGAAACATTTTGATGGATACAAAATTAAACAATTAAGATATTTATATCAGATGGGTTTTTTGGAGATTGTAGTAATTTCAATGGTTAAGATCATGAGTCAATTGAAGCCAGACCACCATGGAAAACCTGGAAGCACTGGACGACCGTTTCGTCCTATTGTGGGGCTCCTCAGCTGTATGCATCCACGACCTCACCCCCTGCGAGATTCGAACCCAGGACCTACTGGTTCCGCGCACGAGCACTTAACCACTAGACCACTGAGCCGGCATCCAACGGTGTTAATGTCTAATTTCAACTAATCCACGAAGCTGCGCCACCGTACACCATTGTCTTCAGTGAGTTCCTATCTCACAACAGACCTGATTAAGATATTTCACTAAGCAATTTTCGATTTTTTTCCCTTAGTTTTATGGGGGAAAAACCTATTTTTCTATTCGAGAAATGAAATAAATATTTTTTTCCAAAAAATTCTTTAATAAAAGAATTAAATGGTGAGACTATAATTTATGGACAACCTTTGAGTGATACTAAACTGACCTTGAGAGTGTTCACTTCGTAACCAGGACCAAATAAGGGTTGTGAACTTTTGTGAGGAATTATAATTACAATTTATAGTTGATGATTAAGATTAGGAATTAGATTTCGAGTTTTCACCACGAACTGACATCATTTATAATGTCAAAACTATATTTATCCAAAAAGATGAGTAAATTTCGCCCAAAACATCCGAGACCTGTTATCTTATACCTGAATGGGTCGTCCATAAATTATAGTCTTGCTTACAAATGTACTTTTTATGTATATTTCAAAATATCTAATTCATGAATCCATGAAATAATTTACATATTGACTAGTACATTTTTATTAAAAACAAACAAACATACAAACTTGGAAAATAAAAATTACTTCATGAGCTCAGTGTGAATTTAAAGGAGTTTTGTAGAATTTAATTAAATCTGAAGATTTTGCTTCATCGCAGATT